GCCGACCCATGAGACTGTGCCAGGAACAGTGTCTTGGTGCTGGGTCGGGTCGGCGGTGTCACCTCCCAGGACAAGGATGTCCTCCCAAAGCCCTGGTGCTGCTCAGGGGACACGGGAACAGGGATGGGCACCGTGGAGAAGGCGGGTGTAGCGTTGGAGCGATGCTACGAAACGCGGGTTCGCCTGGAAAGCGGATTCTAACGGCCCCGCTCCCCTTCCCCGCACCGCTAACCCGGCCCGTTCTCTGTGTCGTTTCAGAGCTGCAGCGAGAGGGAAGCATCGAGACGCTGAGTAACAGCTCGGGCTCCACCAGCGGGAGCATCCCCCGCAACTTCGACGGGTACCGCTCACCGCTCCCGACTAACGAGAACCAGCCCCTCAGCCTCTTCCCCAGCGGCTTCCCGTGAGCCGGGCGCGCGAGGAGCGAGCGGGACGGGCCCCTCCGTGCCCTGCGGGTGCTCCCCGTTACCCCAAACGAGTGGCATCTCTTCCACGCGAACCTTCCTGGAACGTACTCGCAAAATCCTGACTCTGTTTTCCTGTGCAATATGAAGAGACTCTGTCTTCGATCCTCCTAGCTCTGTGGCTTCTTTATTTTGCCGTGTTCAGGAAGAGGTGCGAGGGGAGAACTGTTTCAAAGCCGTTTTGGGTTACGCACATGGCTTCACCGGCGTTATCTGCTTTTTGTGTTAAAAGATAAAGGGAATCTCCTCAATGTAGTGGTGCGAGCGCCAGCCAGGAGCTCCAGCCGTCTGCAAAAGTGCCGAGCATTAAGGAATGGGCTGGAGAGAGTGGAAACTCAAGGACTTTCTGTGGACAGGGCTGATAAGGTTATTCCTTCATGGTTGCATCTCCCTGCTGCTCTCCTTCCCCACTGATATGCATCAATGCCAGGAGTATTACGAATGGAAATGTCTCTTTGTTCTTCGGAAGAATGGTCTCTATTGCTCCAGTTTTATTCTAGTCATGTATTTTAGAAATATACTTAATTGACTAACTGCAGTCGCCAGTTTCTCATATTTGGTTATGAAAGTTGTTCACTGGAACGCTGATATCTGTCCAGAAATGCATGTGTCATTGAATAAATCTAAGTTAAACAAGAAACTGCTTAAATGTCAATGTTCATGGAGTGTTGCTAACCTTGATGTGTGCTTCATATATCTTCCTGTACCAAAGACTGTGTGCGTATTTACTAACTTGAGGGCTTTAATTAAAGCCATCGGTGGATGCTATTCACCAGTCCAGCTTGGTTTTGCATCTTTGTTTTCTCATACCTCTGTGCAAGGACATTTTTTTAACAACAACAAAAAAAGACTTAAATGCGGTTCCTTGTCCCAGCTTAGTGCCTGTGAAAATCATTGTTGATATCTGATGGATGATAAATATGAGAGAAAAGAACCTTGCTTGGCTTGTTTGTTTGCCTCCTGGCGAAGAGGATTGTGGATATATAGGTATATATGTGTATATACGTGTATATACATATGGACTTGATCATTACCTGCCATGGGTTGGCCCAGCTGAGGGACGCGTGCTGCTTGCGTTGGCTCTGGGTGATCATCCCACCTGCATCCATCGCGTTGCAGGGCCACCCGTGAGAGCCTCCTACAACCCCTGCACGATTCACTTGCTAAAACTGTCCCGGGCTCACCCAGAGCAACCTCCTACATCTCTCCATCTCGGCCAACTTGCATTGAGCAGCCAGGGCTGGGATGAGACCATCAACGTAGGGTGTTTCCTTCCCGCTGCTTCTGCTTAACAGAAGCTGTTGGAGTTGTGGAGACGAGAGGAAACTCTCTGCACCCACAAATCTTTTTGCTCTCCTCTAGCTTCCAACCAGCCACACTGCATGGTGCAGAGGTGACCACCCTCTTTCTATGGCAGCTCTGAGCACCAGATACCAAATTCAATCTCAGGCTTGATTTCCCTTAATTGCAATGCCCCCGCTCAGATCTCAGAAGCTCTTTTGTTGTTGTTCTCTCCAGGGTTGGAAACCACTAATAAAATCTGTGAGTCTGCAGCAATAATTTCAGTTTCTTGCTCAGTTTTCAGTCAGTCCTTCCTCAAGGAAAAAAAAAGCGGGGGAGGGCTGAAATCAGGGTAGAGTTTGGCCATAAGGAAGTGCGTGCAGCTCCGGCCCGCCAGCTATATCGGTGCTAACATGCTCGGCGGTAACGCTGCGTTTCTTTTATGTCTGCAAAATAAAGGCCTGAGCTCGGCGAGTCGGGGTAGGACTTGGCATCGTGAGCAAATGCAACCAGCGGGTCAAGTCGGTCCACGCCAGCGAGGATTTCTAGCACGGTTCAAGCCAAGGTCAGCTCCAAAAGTTCAAACGAAATCCAGCTTAGCACATACAGAAGGGGTTGTGTTGTCACCGTGCTCCGCGGTTCCTTGCAGGGACAAAGTTCTGCCGACGGGAAGCGGCGGCCGCTCTCCGCGTTACCACGGGCTCCGACGGGCCGATGCTTCCGCAAACACCCGCGGCAGGAGCGCACGTGATGCCGAGCGGCGTCGCTGCAAGTGGATTTGTTGTTGGCAGGCGCTAAATCACTTCTTTATAAGCGCCGCAACATGGCCGTGTGGAACTGCCCGGTCGGCAAGAAGCTCCTTTGAGTCAGGATGTTCTGTTTGAAGAAGGGGGACAGCTACAAACAGGGGCTGGCGTCTTCGCTGCCCCACGCAGACCCTCTTGCCATACGTGTCTGCAGCACCTGCTGTCCTTACGCTGTGCCCGTGTCCCCTGCGTGCTCAAGCTGTGCTCTAAGGGAGCTTTGCCCCTGAATTTAATGGCAGCAGGATCGCAGTTTTTGGACCCAACCCAAACCCAACTTTAGGTAGAATCAGAGAGAGTCGTCATGTCCCCGCGGGTTCAGCCACGTCTCACACGATGCTGGAGACGCCCGGGGAGCTGCTGCAGTGCCGACCTGTCCGGCAGCAGCAGCGAGCGCTGCATCCTCATCGGAATCACCGGCGCCGGAGGAGCCCAAAAGACACGTCGCACTCGTCGGGTTTTAAACTGTTTCCAGTAGTGGAAGCAGTGGCCTCCTGCTGAGTTCAAAAGGCAAAACGTCTCGTTTAAAGCCAGGCGGACTGTATATCACTGTGGGCACAAAGTGGAGCTGCGCTATCAAAAGCGGAGTTCACATTTCATAAATTAACATGAAACACCGCGTCCCTGCGCCGGGTGCCGTGGTGAACGCGCGCATGTCCCGCGCTTAAATCACCGGCGGGGGGGACGCGCCGCTGCTCGCAAAGTCAAAGGTTCTACAAATGTGACAGTCGGGAGTTCCAATGGAATCAAATCCGGGAGGGAATCTCAAGGCCGGCGGCGCAGGCGCCGCTTCTCCGCGCTCCTTCCCTCGCTTTGGCCAGGGGCTGCGCGGGGTAGGGAAGTTTGCGCCATTTCCTGTTGTCTTTCCCTTGTGCTCCTGATATATTGTAAAAATGTTCGGTATCTTCCAGTAGGTCGTAATCACTTCGCCCTAATGCTTCGCAGCTGCTAAGTGTAACGTTAAACCCCGGCATCGGAGGGCTCACAATTAGCGAGGCACCGGAGCCGAGATTGTGGCCCTGTGATTGCAAAGGAAGAAAAGGAATTTTTTTCTCTTTTTTCCCCTCCTTAAGTTTAGCTTGGATAAAATAGGAATGAAGTTGTAGGACGGGCTGCATGAGCCCCCACTGCGGCCTTGCTGTCAACAGGCAGCCAAGAAGAGCCAGTGGCTGCGAGTGCGTGTGGGTACATATGGGTGCATATGAGTGCATAGGGGTGTGTACATGTGCATACGTGTACATACATGTGTCCGTGTTGGACCGTTGCTGCTGGTCTGGCTTGGTGCAAAGCTGTTTGCAAACCTGGTGAGCCTTTTGTAAAGCAGTGTGGGGCCAGCTAACCTCCCGCTGCTCCGTAGCTTGCGTTGAATGCAAAGAAGTGTAAACTGAGGCTCATGCTGGCGGCAGCTCCTGCAGCCCACAGGGATTCAGGTCTCCTTGGGCTGCTCTTATCGCGTCCTCACCATCCACCATCTCCGTCCTCACCATCCAGCGCCGCAGGGATGTGGTGGCCAGCAGATGCCCAGAACGACTTTGGGACATCCCAACCATGGGGACCACGTCACCAGCCCAGGCTGGAGCTCGAGGCCACGGCAGCTGCAGCCCAGGGCCACGGAGCGAGGCCGCTGCCAGCTGTGGGTCTCCGAGCACCGGGTTTAACCATGAATTACCTTTTCCACCGCGTGAGGCCTGCACGGATTTGCACCAGAGGCTTCGCAGCCCGGCCTTGTGCTGCAAGAGCAAGTGAGTGCTCCCTAAAAGAGCCAAGTGCAGCCCGGGAGCACGTGATGGAGCCCGTGGCGGAGCCCGTGATGGAGAATGAGGCGACGGGGCCCCTCCTGCGGCACCCGCACGCGCCGGAGCTGCAGCTGCCACCGGGCCAGTAGAAATGATTAATAGGCAGGCCCTGGTCTGGATCAAGGAGGAGACCTCACGTTTCCTCGGGAGCTTCATCGCCTCAGAGGTATCTTAAATATTCTCGCGCTCGCAGCCTATCAGGAGGGCAATTATCTGACGAGCAGTCGGGTGAAGTTAATTTCTAATTTAATACAACGTTAAAAGGTTGTCAGGTTGAAATCTAATCTCGGAGCGAGACATGAAGCGTCTCTTGAAAGCGAGTGTCGTGGGCTGGCGCGGGCTCGAGCTGCAGGACGTGACCGCGTCCCGCGCTGAGCTGTGAAAGTGCCTCCTTCCTACGGAGCAGCGTGGAGCAGCATCACTTTTGTGAGCAACACAGTAAAACTGAGGCTGGTCGGCCCTCCCAGATGGCCCAGGATTTCAGGGAATATCCCCTTGTGGTTAAACACGGGCACAAGGGACACATCTAGCACTTTATTCCTGCCCATGACCAGCACGTTATTTATTTTGGCTGCAGACATTCTGAAGTAGAATCCATTTTCTTACACAGAGGAGATGGTGATTTTTCTGCAGTCGCAAAATTCAAACTTAGGAGAAAAACCCAACTCAAGGCATGAAGGACCAACAGAGTCGGATCCTGGGTTAGCCCATTAGCAAATACGTTCCCAAATTGCACCTAAAGCAGACAGGCCCACGATGTGAATCCCGCACAGGAGCAGGTAACTTGCCCCTAGTTTAATTCTGTGAGTTTTAAAAACTCATGGCCCCAAATGCAATGATTTTGGTCCCAGCGATGAGCATGAGAAGATGCAGGTGAAGCAGCCCCGTTGCACCTGTGGATGGACGTGCCAAGCCCCCCTTGGGGACACCGCAAGCCCCAAGGGCTGTGGTTGCCACCCCCCCTACCCCACAAAGAGGCTGTGGAGCAAGAGGGGGATCTGGGGAGGGATTTGCAAGATGTTTCCAGGTGCTCATGGGGCAGGATGCTCCCCGTAATGGGTGT